AATTTCTTTAAAAGCCTACTTTCATGACCCATTAATTTCCCTGGAAAGTCACCTAAATGAATTCCATGACCCATGAATTTCTTTTAAGTCTACTTTCATGACCCATGAATTTCCCCTGAAAGTCACCAGAATGAATTCCATGACCCATGAATTTCTTTAAAAGCCTACTTTCGAGACCCATGAATTTCTTTTTAAGTCTACTTTCATGACTTAATTATTAGTTTCCTCAGAAAGTCACCAGAATCAATTTCATGCCCCATGAATGGCAATCAAACAATTCCGAGAAATCCTCAATATCTTGAATGTAAAGGTTTTAAGACAAGGAGTCATTTTAAGAGGCTTAAGACTTTGGTTCACTAAAAGGTATGCTATACAAAATGTACCAAGAGATAAACATAGTCATACACTGTACATGTATATTATGTTTATCGTGAAATTTATTATTCAAATGAAGTTTTAGTAAATCTTAACATTAATTGGCATTTTTTCATAAGGTAGCAGTCAATTATGTTAATTGCAAATTGACACTCCTAGATTTGCTTTCTAACTTCAAAGGCCTCTTGGATTCCATAATCATAAAAGTTTTTGTGATGCAAGAAGTCTCATGTTGACAGATGTGCCAAAATCATAGAACATAAATATCATCATAAACATGGGAACGCATCGGAATGTGCAGAATGGTGATCATCTGAGTATAATTATCTTATATTTCCTAAGGTGGTATCCATGTGTTTTAATAGTGAGGGTAAAACACATTTGAAGTTACATTCAAAGTTGTGATTGGTGCGCACACGGCTTGTGTTATTTCTTTCCTTTGCTGTGAACACAACTCGAGTCAAGTATTTGTTTCCTCTGCAACTTTTAGCCGCAAATCGTTCATTTGTAGTACATTCGATTCTACATACTCACCCCAGTCTCACTAATTTCTTTCTCAGAGTCAGTGTACTGTTATCACACATTTTCAAGCATGAGTGTTAGTGTCCAAGCAATACACTGTAGTTCGTATTTTTTTTGTTTTTAAACTTTTTAGCTTTATAGTTTTTTATTTTTATTTATTTATTTTTTAATTTTTTAGGTGTAATATTTAGTTTATAATTTTTTTCAGTTTCAATTTTTCTGCTATATGACTTTTTTGTTTAATTTATAGTTTTTAATTTTTTTTTCAGTGCCTGTTTCGAGGGGGGGACTGGTAATTAGTGATATTATTGTTAATTTATCTGATTATCTTGTGTCTAAAACCTGTAAATGAGCTTGACAGCTAAGTGTTTTGTAACTAGAATTATTAAAAAAAATTGATTGTGCTTTTCAGGTGCTAGCTGATAACAAAACAGGATGTTTCTGATAAATACTCACTGGATAACTTGAGATCAACAGTGGAGGAGTTCATCTCTATGAACTGTATTCCCATTATAAATGAGAATGATGTGGTAGCATCATCTCCAGGCATGGATCTAGATTTGGCTGGGGTGAGTACAATCAAATCCATTTTACAGTTTATGTTTTTTTTTGTATATATAGATCAGTGATATGTGTCTAATTAATCAGAAAAGTTATTGACTTTAATAGTTGGCTCATTAGTTCACACCAACCTGCTACTCGCTTGTTTAGGCCTAGCATCCTCTGTAGTGATTCTCTTTAACGTTTCGATTTCTTCAGTCATACAGTCCACTTTGTTCTTACATTTCCCCATGGCTATTTCCTGCTTTGCCTGTTTTAGCAACACATCTTGAGTTGATTTACACATGTCCAAGAGGGAATACAACAGTTTTTTCATCCTCTGTGAAAGTATTATCAATATATTACGATAAACATTCATAGGGGCAGTTCTGTCCGTTTCGGTTGCCCAAGCTCAGAGTGTTCAGAATCGATCAACTTTCCAGAGTAATAAATGATACCAAGGGTACTGCTTTACTGCGCTCTATAATTTGTCTGTAGAACTTGTGACACTGACCTTAACAAACAAGATGCAAAGGATAAAACAGAGCAACAGAGCTCAGTAGACAGAATCCTCATCGACAACTTCAAATATTTTTGGCACTTCTAACGGGCTGTTTTAATATCTTCCGTTCTGGGTTTACCCAAAGCGTTGAAACCTCTACAAAGCAGTGCCTATTTCCTTTTTGTCGAGGAAAAGTGTGAAATGGAGGCGAGACTTACCAAGTGACGTCCTTTTTTTGTTCTCCGAAGTTGGCGACCCTCTTCGGATATACCTCCTTCTCTCACTCCACTGCAACAAGACCACATAAGTAGAGAAGACAAGAAAAGTAGTACCTCGTCAGTAAAGTGTTTTAAAGACGAGTGATTTTGAAAGATGGTTAAGTTGTGAAAACGTTCCGACCACGTTTCCGTTATCAAGAAGTTCAAGTAATGATGATAATGATAATAAGATAATAATAGTCATGATAATCATGATAATAATTGTTAAAATCCTAATAATAATTGACCACTCCCCCAATGAGGCTTTTCAGTGCTAATAGTAACAAATTGTAAATAAACTTTCATTCTCACACATCGCGCAAATACACTTTCGAAACACTTCAGATTCGAAGTCTAAATGACCTCCTCCAGAGGGTCAGGTTTGCATCACTGGATTTTTTTTTATCAAAGAATGTCGCCACGATATTAACAAACTTAAATTCAATCGTAGCACCAAATTTTTCAATCTCTCCTTTGAAGAGCGGTCGCCACTAAAAGAACCTAAAAAAACGCAGAGACATTGTTATCAAAGCAGCCGACAAGGGCGGCGCAGTAGTTGTTTGGAGGACTGATCTTTACCAAAAAGAAGCTTTGCGGCAACTCTGTGACACCTCTTTTAATCAAAAGGTTGACAAAGATCTCACTTTCACTAATCAAGACTGTCAAAAATACGATTAACGAACTGAACTAAACAAGCTAAACAAGAATTGCTGGCCACAGCAAAAAATCTCATCATTACCACTCCTAGAACTTCTTCTATTTACTTTTTCTCTAAAATTCACAAACCTAACAACCCAGGTCGACCCATTGTCTTGGCTCGCAGTTGTCCCACCGAAAAAACGTGGTTACCCTGTTTCTGTCGTTCGAGAAAGTCATCGCCGCGCCCAACTTATTGATCGACAGTCAGCACTACAAACGTCACAAAAGGAAAATTCCGACCGCATCCCTCACCAAAAAAGATAACCATAAAGTTTACTTTAAGTATAGTACAAGTATACTGCATCAATAATAGTTATACTGCAATCATACTTCAATGGTACTGCACTTACTTAAGTACAGCTGCAGTACCATTTTTGAAGTACACTTTAAGTATACTGTTCGAGTGAAAATCATTTTCCTTGTTGATGATGTAGGGTATAAGTATACTTGAAATCTCTCACACAAATGTAAATCATGGTCAGGTCTGATTAAGTAGGAAAAACTATACTGAAAAGGTACTGAATTGCCTCAGTTGAAATAGCAGTGTCTTTTCATGTATCTGTTTCCTAATTTTCCGCGCAGTTATATTTGTTTGTTAATAGTTATCAACGACCGCTGTTAATTCATTCCATTAATTCATTCTTGTTTTTCTCGTCACCATGTTCTCACCAATAGCATAGCTCCACTTTCTGCATATAAACACACACACATGGGTGTTAAGGAGGTA